TCCATCCCAAAATATTAATGTTAAAATTTGTTCTAAACAATAAACTCAAACGTCTATTAACAGGAGACTGATGAATAAACTATGGTATATTCACACAATGTAGAGCTATGCAGGCGTAAAAGAGGATTGAGAAATATTACTATACACTACAGGATATATTATTGAGTGGAAAAAGCACAGAAGAAGAAGAATGTGCAATATGCTATCATTTATTGAGGAAAGGGAATATATATGTATATATTTATGTATATAAATTGTTATTTACATATAGAATAAGAACATTAAAATGATTACCTATGGGAGAAGGAGGGAATATAGGTATAGGGGACAAAGAAGAGAAGTTCTCTGAATATACATTATATACTTGTGACTTTAGAATCATGTAAATATTTTACATTATAAACCAAAACTAGGGACTTCCCTGATGGCGCAGTGGCTAAGAATCCGCCTGCCATTGCAGAGGACACGAGTTCGAACCCTGCTCCGGGAAGATCCCACATGCCGCAGAGCAACTAAGCCCGTGCTCCACAACTACTGAGCCTGCGCTCTAGAGCCCACGAGCCACAGCTACTGAGCCTGCGAGCCTAGAGCCCGTGCTCAACAAGAGAAGCCACCACAGTGAGAAGCCCGCGCACCGCAACGAAGCGTAGCCCCCACTCGCCGCAACTAGCGAAAGCCCACGTGCAGCAACAAAGACCCAACGCAGCCAAAAATAAATAAAAACAAACAAAAAAAACCAAATCTGCCCTTCATCATCCGTTGAAAAGACTTAGAAACAACCAACCATGTAGCAAGAAGCACCCCGTGTGCCCAGACAGTGATCTCGGTACACCCTTTACCATTTAAGAAACATGGGCTCCATAGAAAAATGATCTTAGATATGGGGCAGGAAATGTACTAGAAGAACCTGAAAGATTTTACAGGAGGAAGCAAGGAAGCAATCAAAGGCTATGAGGGTCATACCAAAAGGACTCAGGAACCAGTTTGAGACGGCTCCCTCTGGCCAAAGATAGAATAATTTAAAGCATCAATAGGGTAACTGTAATGGATTGAAGCACAAACATATTTAAATATTAAATTCAAAAAGATCCAACTAATCGATCAAATACACAAGCCAAAAACCTTGCTGTTCATCTTGGATGATAGAAAGGAACTAACTTTAATTGTGAGAACTGGTAAATAAAGGAAAACAATGAAGCAAATTTATCCTGTCTTTCCTATATGAATTATGATGCAAGTAACCAAACAGTTGATGAGGTAAAGTTACTTTTTACAGAAACATTTCAGACTTAAATAATCAAGTCCTATGTCTGAAATTTGCTTCAAAAGAGTATGGGTTGAGAGGAAGCACACGTGAAGTAGAAATGAGACAAAGTGGGCCATAAATTGAATGCTGTTAAAGAGTAAACGTTAGTAAGTATATGGCTTTCATTATCTGCTGTCTTTTATATAACTCTGAAATTTGAATAATCATAATTTTTACATTGCACTGCAAGTTTGCTAAATGGGTTGTAAGTTTGCCACTTACATATTGGCGTTTTGGATAGCTCACAGTGTTAGCAAAATGCTGACGTACCAGCAGAATAGAGCTTATTGGTTCTCTGATATATCCAACTTCTTAAACCATAAATCAAAGGTATTAAAATTTTAAGCAAGCAAGTTTTGACTAAATTTTATCTTATGCTACAGTTGATCTATATGCTTATGGTTTTACAGAAGAGCAGTAAGAGAAACAGCATTGTATAGTTATGGTTCAGAGCATGGACTCTGGAGCCAAACTGCACAAATTAGAGTCTCAACTTTGCCACTTATTTACCATATGACCTTGAGCAATTACTTAACTTTTCTTCATTTTAAAAATGGAGATGATAATGGTATCCACTTTAAAAAGCTTATTTGAAGATAAAGTGCAGGTATACAATCGCTTTTCCAAAATCCTTGCTACCGTATGTGTTCCTGATTTTTTTTAACAGAACAGGGTATGCACACCATCTTACTACCTAACACCCTCATTGTGTCCTGGATCAGCACCCCATACTCTCACACAAAATGCAGCAAAATGCATGAATACTCACACTAAGTGAGATACAGCTTGCAATAGCCTCATGTCAGTGAAGGTCAGGCTTTACTACCAAAGCAGGTTTGATAACAAGCTTATTAAAGAAACATTTGGTTTTCAGAGCTTTCTAGATTTCAGAACAGTGGATGAGTGATTATGATCCCATATAAGTGAATTGCTTAACAATAGCAAAGTAAGCACTGTTACCTATTATCACCTATGACCACAGATTTTTTTAAATAATATGCTTTGTAAAAATTAAGATTGTCATTTCAAAAGAGACAAATGTGCATTGCATTGTCTAAAACTGAAAGGAACAGCTCTATCCACCATGCTCTGCCCATCACTACCCGTCAAAGAAGAGAGTTTCATGTTAAGCAAACAGAAAAACCTCCCATGAGCCCTTGCTTAGTATTATTTGAGGACTGAAAATGAAATTTACCTTACTTGGCAGTAGGTCAATATGGGGAATAAATTCTGGACAGCACTAAGAGTAAATTCTCTGTATCACAATTGTGGATTACTGAAGCATTGTGAGGTTTTGTTTGTTTTTTTTTAAAAAAAAGTATTTAAGTATTAAGAAGAAAGATACATTTAATTTTTACTCTATCTTGTTAAAGGGTCTTGATTTGCTAAAAGTTAAATGGGTATGCATAAAGGCAATAGCTTAAAAGGACTTTAAAGGATCAAAGTTGCAGAGGTCAACAGTACAAGCAATATGAACTCAAGGTAACTTATGAATAGAGGATAACTTATTTTATCTGTTATTATTTGAATATAGAAATGTTTTATGACTTTTAGAAGAACATCTTGATACTGCTTAAGACTCTAAAAAGACACAAATCATTACAGTAATTACACCAGTTAGTTACAAGAAGTAAATTCTTAGAATTATATTTTCCAAAAACATGTCTTCATTAGAAAAGCTATATTTAATTCTAATAAAACACTTAGTTATATAACTCATAAAAATTGGGGCTTATCCTTATTTTCTTAAAATAAGAATTCCAAAGTTATATCTATCTTCATAAAAGAAAACTATCTTAACTCACTGGTACTGACCACTCTAAATTATGTTAAAAATGAAATACATTATTACTATTTTAAAATCTTTATTCAAATCAGATCCATGCTTATTATTTACATTATCTTTCATTTAGGATTAAAATATTATATCCATCTGTAGTTTAAATCATACCTTTAGCCCTTTACAAAATATGAAGTTAAAGTTTTAATAGTTTAAAACTGAATTGGGGACATTAGATTTTTAAATGAAATTGAAAAATTATGATACATTAGAACATACATGTATACACACTAGACAAAGAGTGGTAGAACAAGATAAGATATTTATAGTAATTTTCTATTTTTTCTTGTGGCTATTTTCTATATATTATAAATCACATCCTTTAATAAGCATTTAAATAAAACTTTCAATTAATAAATCAAATGCCAAATGAAGGATTACAAGAAAAATATTTTCCTGAACTTTTCTTTTCACTTACTTAAACCACATGTTTTCCTAGGTTAGAAATTATCCATATTTAGAATATCTTAAATCAAAGTACAGATACATTTGATACATCCCCATATGTTAAACACTGTACAAGTGGAAGTTCTCAAAAAAGAGGTAAAGAAAAAGAAATGGTACTCTCAATTCAGCTTCCCAAGAGTTAGAAGGATGCCCACAGTCTGTGCTTAGTTGCCTATATATGAAACAACAATGTTCACACCCCTCTATTCTTTGTTTATATTCTTGACATTGTTATCATTTATATTACCTATTTTCTTTCAAGAATGGAAACATCTGACTGCAATCTATTTTCTTTATTAAAATATAAATATTTTCTAGAATATGGACAGATAAGTTTTAATGACAAACAGCAAAATACAGCAACCAATATTCAATAGGTATTCTGCCACTTAGTGGAGTTTTTCAAGAAAGCAATTCAGTACACCTTCTCAACTTACAAATGTATTGAGAAATCTAAGTGTATAATAAAATAAGGTCTGTATGAACATCAGCTATTAATTTGTGGATAAAGAACAATATACGGTAATATACAGCCGAAGACTTAAATATTAAATAGCTGTTTATCTTAAATTAAATAAACTGAGAACACTTTAAAATTTTAAGTTGAGTTGATTTTATTAATGTTAATATGGATTAAGAAAAGAGAATGTATAATATTATAAAATTGAAAGGTAAAGGAATTTTATTTCAATCTTTTCTCCACAACTGAAGGGTTTTTGGGTTTTTTGCCTCACTAATGGATATATTAAAAGAACAATTTCATAATTCCTAAACTTCTAGTTTCAAACACTTGACAGAATTTGCAACTTAAGTTTCCTATATTTTCTAATTCTGTACACTTCTTATTGCTATCAGTCTTGTCATTTTCTGTCAGCCCCCGGAGAAAAAAAAAAAAAGCTGACAGAAAGCTACTATACTGCTTTTTACCAATAAAATATAGAAAATTAATTTTATGAATCTGGCTCACACGGAAAGAATATTTATTAATGCTACAAATCAGAGATTCACTGACAAAAATACTGCCTTGAATGCAAAAGGAACAAAAATGAGGTCACTTGAATTGCCCTGAAAGGCATTCCAAAATCTTCAACATGGCTTACCTGTAGCTAAAGTTCTAGTGTTTAAAATGTAACTAGAAGTTAAGTGAGTGTTCCTACTTTCAAGTAAAGGCAGCTAAATGACTTTCGGTAATAAAACGTATCAAAATATTTCACAAGTCTAAAACACAGCTGAGAAGAAGGCATAGTTATTTTTTCAGCTATTTCACACTATTTTTCAGTTTAAAGGTTCAAGAAAAAAGTTAAATGATAAACCACAGAAAATTGCAAAATGCCAAATTTAACTCCTATAATTTCTCTATTTTCTTATGAATATCAAACATATACTTTTAATGTGCCAAAAATAAGGCTTTAAAAAATGTGAACAATTTTTAAAAAGAAAATTATATTAGTAATTTAATTACTTTTGATTCATTTTATAGGGCAGTAAAACAATACGTCTTCAAAACTACTAAAATGTTGATACCATCACAAAATGACTGTAAGTAGATTTTTCCACTATTCAATTATGCCTAGATAACTTTGAATAGCTATAGCTTTCTCCAAATGGGTACCAAAATTTGTACAGACTTAATCGTGAAATCTGAAATAAAATTTGAGACCACAAAACTTTTGAAGTTTAAATTATTTACCCTTTAAACTTCAGAGAGTGCTTTTTTTCCAAAAGAAAAATAATAGTTCAAGATTTAATAACCGCAGGTTTAAATAATTTTTTTACTTGAACACAATGTCCATTTTCATAAACAGTAATTAGACGTACTGAAGATTTAAGTGTGAAAGATTTCAAAGTGTCAATATGTCACTATCACTCTTTAAATGTTCTCAATATATACAAAAACATATAAATTATAGATACAATTAGTTATATATCTACAATATATAACACCATTCTCCTTCCCTAACCATACTGACATGAGGATAAAGTAATAAATCTCTGTGCTATTCAAGGCAAAAAAAAAAAAAAAAGACTGTAAAAAATAAATCTTTAAAGAATAGTTTTAAAAATAAAGTTCAAATACTGCACAAAATAATTTAACTGGAAATATTACTATATACTATAAAACAATTTTTTTCAATTTTTGAATGCTACAGTAAACTCCACTTTCTAATTCTATAAAAGAATTTATTGGATATCTGTACTTAGATATTAAATGTTTACATTCAGTTCGATGGGAATGTAATTTTCAGAAGTTAACTGAGCCTTTGTCTTAAAAGTTCATCTATTTGAGTCTTATACATATGTTTTACATCTTCAAGATCTAATCGAAGTTCTTCTGCCTCTTCTGCTTTTTCTCCATACATCTGCAGAATAGTGTTGTATCTTTGATCCAAATCCTATAAAATATATTTGTTTACAATTTTTAAATAACTGTACAGAAAATCTTTAATATTATATTTATATTATCATAAATGAGCCACCAGTAAAGACATTACAATCTGAATAAAAGTATACAGTCATCTCTCATAAAAATTAAACTCACACCTCGGTCTGTTGGAATAAAAGAATAAAAAAAACAAAATAAGCCAGATGGCTATTAATCTTAACATATATTTTCACTAAATCTACAATTCTCCCCATATATAGCTTAATCTGTCTTTTCTCCCAGTAATTTCAGCATGTTTGATGAAATTTCAGTCTCTATGGTTCACTGTGGTTTAAGTATTACCTGGCATTTACCCCACAAGAAAAGTCAAAAGAAAACCTATTCTCATATATGGCTTAAGAGCAACTTCCAATAACAAATATGCTAATTGTGAGGATACATATAACATCAATCAATAAAATACTACTCAGATCATGCAAAAGTTCAGGATTATTAATCAGCCTTGGCCAAATGAAATCTAGTTATTTTCCTGTACTGAGACTAAACATGATTGTGAACACTATTCTGAATGTGTGATGTGACAAGCAAGATAAGATTCATTTTTAAAGTTCTTCACTCAAATATTAATACTCTTCAATTATCAAAGAAAACACTAACATATACATATGCATTTTATGTAAACTAAAAATAAGAGTGAAGAATACTTACTCTTAGCTGAGATCGAAGTTTGGGTATCTCCTTCACTTTCTCTTCAAGTTCATCATTTTGATTTGTTAACTTAACTAGCTCTTCAGCCATTATGGAGCGTGTTTTTTCTAGATTGCCAATTTCTAGCTGAGAAACATTACCAGGAAGCAATTTAAATCAAAATATGTCTTGTTTAATAATCCCACTAATATAAACATATTTAATGTGCTATTTTTTAAGAAATAGATATGTGAACATATAACCATAAGCTAGCTCCTGGTAAAAGGAAATAGAGGCACAAAAACGGTTTCAACTTTCCTCAAAGGTATACCATTTATAGGGTTTACTATGAGAGATAAAGAACTGAAGAAAATTTAATCATCTGTTTGAAACATGCAACTCTACATTTTTCTCTAAGGAAACAGCATATATTTCAGTTATGCTAAATTACTACAAAAACCCAGAGAAATAAAAACAAACCGCCAACCATGTAGGTCACATTGGTAGAATCTATTATCAACTACCAAAGAAGTTCATTTGTGCCCTTAAGCATAACAGTGGGCTACACAAACATAACAGGTAATAAGATTATTCTGATCTATTTTCTTCCAATTCAAGGACATCTTCTTTAATTCAGTAATATTTTCAACTAAAATCATATCATAAAAATAGAAAAGGAAAGTTCCACTTTCGAGTGTATCAAGTTTAACAATGAAAACAGGTAAAACGTTTTAACATTTGTCACCACATTAAGTTTCTGAAAAGCAAGATAATGGGAGGATGCTCCACTCACCATGTTTCCTTTCATGTCTAGGATGTTATAGTTCTAATCTCTCTCACCACCTTTACCCTTTCCTCATAGGGGGAGCTGGAGCAACTTACCTAAGCAGAAAATCTGGGAAGAATAAAATGGCTATGCTCAGCTCAGCAACTTCCCTTTTTTCGTGTTTGGAAAAAGCTGCCTGCAAGGAGCTCTATGCTCCTAGATGCCTCTAAGTCTTATCATGGCAGGCTGTCGCACATAGGGTGGCCTACTCCAGCCAAGCATTTCCTGTGACAGTCTCCCAAATTCTGGCACTCAGAAGGCCCACTGAACTTTCATCCTTGGCTAATTTCTCCAACCAGCCTTTATCGTTAATATATATGATTTACTTGGGGTTTCACGTGTCACTATTTCATTTTACTTCTCAATTTGTTCAGAATGCAGGTGGAAATGAAGCGTGCTACTCACTGGGCCTCAAAATTTCATTTACTTCTACAGCACATTTAATTTTTCTAATACCTGTAAATGAGTAATTTCTCCTTCCCTTAGCTTTAGCTGAGACTGTAGATTTTCAATAATGCTTGATCCTGCTCCCATCCTTACAGCATCATAAAGATTGCTTCCATTTGCTGACACAGACATTGGTCCAAATGAGTGATCATGAAGCTCATCCTGTGTTAATTAAAGAAAGCATATATAGTTATTCAGTTACTACAGACTGTGGATAGGTGTCAAACAAAATGGTTTGGTCAATTCTTACTTTAAAATGTCTATGACTTTCTCAAAGGCAGAAAACCATCTCTATTTCCTCAGTGCAATTAGCACTCCCTTACAAATATGCAGATAAATTGCCTATAGAATAGCAAGATCACGGTGAGAGTCGAACTGCTATCTGCACATTCTCTTTATCATTATTCAGTCTAAGAACTAAACACATGTAAGAAATAAAACATCACCTGAGACATAAAAGATGTCTGTAGCCCTGCCATATCAACTCCACTTATCGAACTTGAGCGTGACATTGTGGGAGTGCTAGAAACAGAAAATGGCTTCCGATCCTTAAGGTGTAAGGAAAAAGAAATTCAGTTCAGATTAAAGAGTAAAATGATAAATAAAAAAGCAAGAAAGTTTTCTAGGATCAATGACAACAAAGATTCATTCTAATTTCCTCATAAAATGTTACAGATATCTTAAGTCTTATCAAAGGCACAATATTTAGTAATTTAAAGTGTAGACAAACTTGGTCAAATCATCTCATTTATATTATAACAACATAATTTGTTTTATTTTTAATGGAATGAGAATGTTTTTAATGGAACAATTATATGAACTAACTGCTTCATATTATATAACATACCACCAATTAAACCTATTCTTTAGAATTAGATTACCAATGAGATTTGCAAACCATAAAGTTTCTGGCTTATCCACTTTATTTTTACTGTATTTTTTTAAACCAAATAAATTCAGAAGGTAATTTCAATCAATGCATATATAGGTAGTTTTAATGTATTACGCTTACTACCGAGTATACTCCAATCCTTTAAATACAGGAAACTCACTTCAGAAAAATTACCTTCATTAACCAGAAAGAAAGTGAACAAACCAGTTTCACTCCCAAGGTGCCTATGGGCCAAATGAGGGGCATCAGTGTCAGTGAGAGACCACAAAAATTCATTTTAAAAGGGGCAAGAGGTTCTGTCATTCAAATCCTAGAAATCACAGATATCTTTGCATAAACTCCAATTACTCTGGATCCACTCTGAGCAGAACACTGATTATACTACTAGAATTTATCACTCTATTGATTTTAGACATAAGAAATGGTATTTATAAAGTGTAGCTAAAATTACAAAACAATTAATGATTAATCACAACAGCTACTAACTGGTTACATCAAAAAGAAAACAAAATTTAATACCTTTTCTTTTATTGCTTCTTGAGTGAAAATTGCTTTCTTCCTTTCCTGTTCAACTTTCATTTTCTCCATTTCTAACTGACTATTCAACAGTGTCTAATGGAGAGAGAGATACAGTTAGATAATTTCTGTGACACTAAGTCATAATCATAAGCCAATCTCAAAGTTTAGGAACATAAGGTATACACTCCTATTGGTTTTACTACTAAAGATCAAGTTCCAAAAGCAGAAACATCACCCATTTTATCTTGTCATCTCATTAGTTCGCTACCATCCCCAACCATTCTCTAATGGAAGCCCTAAGAGGTGAGCGAACACTAATGGAAATACCTTTTCTTTCCTTGTTTCTTCAAGTGTTCTTACATATTCACCTTTTAGGCTTTCTAATTCGACCTGGCACCTATTAAGCCAAAGGGAATTAAAACAAAAAAGATGATAGTACAGACTATTAAAAACTCACTACTTTATGAACTCCAGTTATATACTTAGTAGTCATTTTTATTATCAGCTTTATTTTCCAACTGTATTTTCCAGATGACTTGGGTTTCATTCAAAAACTGAACTACTACTTCATGTATCTTATTTATTGGTTCTCTCTGGATTAAGATTTCATTTAAAAAGAGACTTTTTTTCTAAAGAGAATTTTGAATACCACCATTCTACAATATGTTCAGATTCTACAAAGGCTTATTAGGGAGGTCTATGAAAATGTCTGCAAAAGTTCATATATTTTATGTCATGAATCATTTTTACTTGACTACTTTTTTTTAAAGTAAAATTCCAAGGAAGAACTCAGGATAAAACCCCTAATCACAGCTTTAATATAACTTCACATAGATGGATTTTATAGCTTGTGGTTTCCAAAGAGCCCAGACATTTATTTAGAAAGACTGGAACAATGTTTAAACCCCTGTAACATAAAAACAACTCCAGTGAGTGGTCTTCAAACTATTTTGTGGTAACAGACTCCTTTAAAAAATCTGATTAAAGCAATGAATCTTTGCTCTGGAAAATGCAAATACATTCAGAACATGCCACCCAATTTCGAGAGCCTATGCAAGGTTCAATGAATCCCGGTCCTATCTTGGTATAATATCCTATTACTAATGACTCTGACTTTAAACACTAAAAATATGTATTTGCAGTTCTCAGTGCAATGAAGCCTAAAACCAACACCACATTTTTTTAAAGTGCTTTAAAATGTCATGAAACTACCAAGAATAACACTCAAGAAACATGCTCACCTATTATTTTCATCCTCTAGTTTTCTTAGCCTATTTTTCTCTGATTCTAGCTGGGCCTGAAATCTACTATTTTCTTGTCTCAAGAGAGAATTCTGTGACTCCATGGAAGACATTTGAATTTTGTTGGCAAGAAGTTCTTCTGTGGCCGCACGTTCTCTCTCAACTGCTGCTGCCAACAAGGTCTGGGATTCACCTGATTGTAGGGTAAAAAAGAAAAATCACATATACATACATTCAAGAGGCCAAGATAACAAGTAGATTCTGACTTCAAACTTTTAATGATGCAAATAGCCACACTTAAAACTGTAAGTACTCATTGACTAAGGCAGGCCTGCCTACAGATACAAAAAACAATCTTAATTTATATGTGTTTTATCACTTTTTTCACCAAAGTATTTTAATTTGAAAGTGGAGTCATGTATCAACAGAGTAGTGAATCAACAAACAGTGCTGGGTCAATTGGATAGTCCAAGAAAAAAAAAAAAGAAGAACCTCAAACTAACCTTCACACAGCATATGAAAATTAACTCAAATGGATCATACACTTAAGTGTAAAACAAAATATAATGAGGGGAGGGGTAAAACGGGTGAAGGGGATTAACAGGTACAAACTACCAGGTATAAAACAGAAAAGTTACAAGGATGTAATGTACAGCACAGGGAATATAGTCAATATTTTATCATAACTTTGTATGAAGTATAATCTACAAAAATGTCAAATTACTGTTGTACACCTGAAACTAATATAATATTTTAAGTCAACTATACTTCAACTGAAAAAAAAAACAAACTATAAAACTTTTCGGAAAAAACACAAGAAATCTTCAGGATCTAGGGATAGGCAAAGAGTACTTAGGTTTGACACAAAGAGCATGAGCCATAACGAGAAAAACTGATAAACCGGACTTCTTCAAAATTTTAAACTTCTGTTCTATGTGAAAAAGATGAAAATATAAGCTACAGACTTGGAGGAAATAAATGCAAATCATGTTATCTAAGACTAGCATCTCAAATACATAAAGAAGTCTCAAAACTCACCAGTGAAAATACAAACAATCCAATTAGAAAATGGGCAAAACCCATAAACATTTCACTGAAGAGGACGTACAAATGGAAAATAAGCACATAAACTGACATTCACCATCTTTCGTGAGGAAAATGCGAATTAAAATCATAATAAGGCATCACTACACACCTGTCTGAATGACTAAAAGAAAAAATAGGGACAACACTGAAAGAAAATGCTGGCAAGGATGTAGAGAAACTGGATTATTCTCATAGATACAGCCACTTTGGAAAACAATTTGGCATTTTCTTAAAAAACTAAACATGCAACTACCCATACAACCCGGCAAATGCACACTTGGGCATTTATCCAGAGAAATGAAAACTTAAGTTCACACTAAAACCTGTATATGAATGTTCACAGCAGCTTTATCCATACAAAGTCTAGATCCAGCCCAGACATCCTTCGTCAGGTACATGTTTAAACAAGATGTGCTACATACAGAAGAACATTCAGCAGGGACTTCTCTGGTAGTCCAGTGGGTAAGACTCCATGCTCCCAATGCAGGGGGCACAGATTCGATTCCTGGTCGGGGAACTAGATCCCGCATGCATGCCGCAACTAAGCATCTGCATGCCACAACTAAGTCCGCATGCTGCAACTAAGAAGCCCTCATGCCACAACTAAGACCCGGTACAGCCAAAATAAATAAATAAATATTTTTTTTAAAAAAGAAAAACACTCAGCAATAAAGATTAAATCATTGATACACATAAGAACTTGTATGAATCTCCAAGAAATTACACTGAGCAAAAAAAGCCAATCCCCAAAATGTCACATGTTATACAATTCTATTTACATAATTTTTTTTTCCTTTGGCAGTGCCATGCGGCATGTGGGATCTTAGTTCCCCAACCAGGGATCGAACCCATGCCCCCTGCAATGGAAACATGGAGTCTTAACCACTGGACTGCCAGGGAAGTTCCACATTTACATAACATTTTGTAATTCCAAAATTTTAGAAATGGAGGATTAGTGGCTGCCAGGGATTGGAGACAGGGAGGGAGGGCCATGAGGGTGCTAAGTATGATTTTAAAGGGCCAAATGAGGGATCTTTGTGGTGTCAGAACTATTCAATATCTTGACTGTAGTGATGGATACATGAACCTACACAAGTGGTAAACTTGTATAAAACTTAATACACACATAGACACATATACATATATACACACAAATAAGTACCAGTAAAACTGGGGAAATCAGAATAAAATCAGAAGGTTGTTTCAAAGTTAATACCTTGATTGTGATATTCTACTATAATTTTGCAAAGTGTTAACATATGGATATTGGGGAAAGCATGCAAGGGACCATCCTATATCATTTCTTATAACTGCATATGAATCTACAGTTAGCTCAATTGACAATTACAATTAAACAAAAAAAGGACTAGTGGATAAAATTCTGAGATTTAACAAAGGCAAGAATTTTCATACTTTTTCCCCACCAAAGTAGACCTAATAATATCTCTGTTTTACATTATAAATTCTGTTCTATACTGTATCTATGCTCTTATTTATAGCATTATACAGTACGTTTGTCCTGTGGCTTTGCCTACATTCCAGCACAATACCATATATCCCTGAGGCTGTGTAGGCTCCAGTTGAAAAGCCACAAAAATAATGGCTTCTTGCTCTCATTTTATTGCTAAATAAACATTTGTTTCAGAAGGTGTCATTTTCAGATATCTCATATTCCATAACAAATGGGTCTCAAAAAGTGGTCCAAGATAAATAATAGACCTAAAATTAATACCTAGAAATTAAACAATATATGAAGGTTCATCTGTTCAGTGATTTTTCTTTTTGAGCAGATAAATCTATTTCCAGACAAAATCTTACATGGAGCTACAAGGGGCAAAAAAAAAAAAAAAAAAAAAAAAAAAAAAAGATAAAGGAGGCACTACTTTCATTAAAGCAGCCTGGAGGGGGCCCAGCAGCTTACTTATCAAGCTTACCCCTCACCATGACAGCCAGCCCTAAGACATACAAGGGATCTACTGAATACTGTTTGAAAGCGACTAATCTAGTTCACCCCTCATGATTTTCAGGGTGTAGTCCAGAGAAGGTTAAGTGTCTTGCTCCAGACTGTTTGACTGGGTGATTCAAAACAAAACATAAAAACCCTGAGTCCAAGTCTCCTGACACCCATTCACGTCTGCTTTTATCACTACACCATGATGTCTCTCAAATTACAGTTAATTTTAGGCATAGAACGGACACAGGAATTTTTCACCATTTGCTAGCTTCTGGGATATCTAATATGTACATATTCTGTGCTTGAATAAGTATCTTAGAAGAATAATTTTCTTTTTATTAACAGCACAGAAGGGCAACCTAGAGCATTTCTGTAAAGAAGCAAAATATGGAACCTTAAGACTCCACAGCATCTGTCTACTAGAATTTGACCTTAATCTAATTTGACCTATCTCTGCTCTTGGAATTCTACCACTGACTAGAATCATATCTGATCTCTACTTCCTACACTACTGCAGACAAGCTAGAATGAGGTCAGACTTAGCAATGGACAAAAAAACAGTTGAGCACAACAGTTTGTAAAAATGAATGTAAGAATGACATGGAAGTATTTTAGACAGTACCAGACACATCGTGTAAGGAATGTTTTGAAAGAGTCAATTAAGGTATTAGAAAATAAATGTAAAAGAGGAGAAGAGGTAAAAATCTACAAGTTAGACACAAAATGAAACCATGAGATCAAGTGAATTTCAATTTCATACCATTACCCTAATTCTAAAACAAGATGGAAGGGCTTCTACATTGAGCTTAAGAACTAAAGCAGTTACCAAGTCTATCAGAAAGATTCTTCTCTAACTTCTCCCACGATGACGTCTGGGACCCTAGAGTTGCTTGCAAATTTTCTATCTGTCGAAGCAACGGTCTTGTTGTTGATGAAACACTTTGACTCAGTTCTTGGTTTCGATTCTCTGCTTCCTGGAGTCTCTGAATCATGACATTCTTAAGTCATTACTACTGACAGCAATAAAAACACTAAAAATGCTAGCAAAGAAACTTTATGAGAGATTTCTGGGAAAAACTATTTCTCCAAGATAAAATGATTTTTTGTTAAACTATTTTCTAACTATTCAATCCTTAAGTTACAGTTAAGTTGCACAACAGAGTAACTAAATAAGTGCTTCTTTACAGAGCATTTCTAAGATAAAGACAGCCTTTGAATACCTTAAGATAATAAAGAGTATCATCCAAACTTCCCAGTAGTTGCCTCCTCATCCAAATATTTCTAAGTATTTATAAAAACAGAAAGATCAATCTGAGGGGCATTTTCTCCCCCTTATCCTGTACATGTTCATTGACTGAAATTAACAGAGCAGTAGCATAAAAACTAGGCATTGTTCATCTGACCCACAGTAATCAGAGACTGATAATAATAAATCGGCCATTACAAATGAAAAAACAACACTGAATATACTACATATCTATCATGATAAAATTATTTTCTAGAAAACAAAATTAGGGCTTTTCTTATACATTTTTAAGGTGCCCACTCTGGTTTTATTCACATAAGCCACAAAAATACAGCAAATGATAAGTATGGGAGAAATCTTCTCAACTCTAAGAACATTACCCCACTGAGTCATTTTGTATTTCTTGAAAAACGCATCTCAGATTTGTGTTTAGGGAAACTCTGACAGTACCTGCTGGAGTTCACTGATCTCATGACGTAAATAATCCTCTTTTCTGGCAGCTGCTTGTTCCGCACGTTGCAGTGCCAGCCTAAGGTCCCCCACCTGTATTAGGAGAACCAACAACACTATCACAACCAATATCACAATATTATCTATAACTTCCTGCTAACTACATATTTTGTATTGTGTTGACTTAGTGTTCACATATAATACTCTTCACTATCCAATGAGCTTTTACGTATGATTACCACATCCCATTCTTCAGGCAATCCCCGAGCCATATGTATTCAATATGTACTTAGGAAAGCTCGATAAGGCACACAGACACACACACACACACACACACACACACACACACACACAAAGCATATAAGTATGTACAAGGCCCAGCCACTGCCATACAGTATAGGAGCAAAGACAATGCATCCATAAACGTTCGCAGTGTAATGCAGAATGTGATAGGAGCTATATGAGCTATAAAAACTAGCTGCTATATTCATACACGGCTGCACAGGTTGTAAACTGCTACAGCCTTTTTGGAAAGCGTTATGGCAACATAATCATCAAACTTCTTACATTCTTTCATCTGATCGTCCTAGTCCTGAGAATTTACTCTATGGAAGCAGATCTGTAAACACACAAAGATGTCCTCTACACTGTTAGACTAACAAAAACAAACGAAACAAGAAATATTGTTAATATCTATTAGCAGTCGTTTATTTTTGTAAATGTGGATACATTAATATACCCAATAAAAATTAAAATGAACATAAAAAACATGTAGGGGGCTTCCCTGGTGGCGCAGTGCTTGAGAGTCCGCCTGCCAATGCAGGAGACGCGGGTTCGTGCCCCGTTTCGGGAGGATCCCACATGCCGCGGAGCGGCTGGGCCCGTGAGCCATGGCCGCTGGGCCTGCGCGTCCGGAGCCTGTGCTCCGCAAATGGGAGAGGCCACAACAGTGAGAGGCCCGCATAACGCGAGAAAAAAAAAAAAAAAAAAAACATGTAGAAATGTACAACTTAATCTTAAATGAAAAAACTATAAAATTATATATATATATATATATCAGTTATAAAAAATATGTACATGGAGATAAGGACAAGAAGTTAATACACAAAACTGGCAGGACTTGTAAAAGGTGATGATTTTTTGAATGGTAACCCCATATACTCTCTATCTCCCATTCCCTCAATTTTTTGTCATTACGTTTGAGTACTTTTAATTTAAAATATTAATATTTTTATCTATCCCAGTGAGGGAGTGGCAGAAGCACAAGGACCATGGTGTAACTTACAACAGCAAAACATCAGAAACAACCCAAATATCCATTAGTAGGAACTGACTGAATGGTATATTCACACAATGATATACTATAAAACTATAAAAAGGAATTTTTTAAAAAGCTCTATGCTCTACCATGGAATGATCACCAGGATGTTTTATTAGGTAAGTAAAGCAAGCTATAAAACAGTATCAATAGTAAACTATATTTTATGTAGGAAGGATGAGAGAGATACAAACAAATGTGTGTATAAGTGTAGGTGTGTATATATATACGGGGTATATAAGTAAATGTAGATATGTATGTTTTCTTGCATTTACAAATAGAAACACTAATAAAATGGTTATTTACAGGCAAAGAAAGGGAATAGGGAGGGGCTAAGTTGGAAGTAAATGTTATCTTAATGTATTTTGTTATACAGCTTTCACACTTTGGAATCATGTAAATATTTTACATATCCCTGTGAAATTAAATCAAAAGTGCATTGAGGTCAATGAGGGAAGAACAGTCTTTTCAACAAGTAGTGCTGGAACAATTTGATATTCACATGTAAAAGATCTAAAATGTGACGACTAAGACTATAAAAACTGTAGAAAGAAACACGTGAAAACCTGCATGATGTTGAATTAGGCAACAGTTTCTTAAATGTGATGCCCAAAGCACAAGCAACAAAAGAAAAGATAGGTAAGCTGGACTTCATCAAAATTTATTGAACTTTTGTGTATCAAAGGACACTATGAAGAAAGTGAAAGACAACCTAGAGAATGGGAGAAAATATCTGCAAATCCTACATTTGATAAGGGTCTAATATGCAGAATATATAAAGAACTCTTACAAATGAACAATAAAAAGGTAATATAAAAAACGGGCAAAGGATTTAAACATTTAAATAAATATCTCCAAAGGAGATACATAAATGGTCAATAAGCACATAAAAAGATGCTCAACATCATTAATCATTAAGGGAATGTAAATCAATACCACACTCAGATACCATTTTACACCCCTAAAAGGGCTATAATGAAAAAAAAAGACAATGACAAATACTGGCAAGAATGTAGAGAAACTGGGCTTCCCTGGTGGCGCAGTGGTCGAGAGTCCGCCTGCCAATGCAGGGGACACGGGTTCATGCCCCGGTCTGGGAAGATCCCACATGCCACGGAGCGGCTGGGCCCATGAGCCATGGCCGCTGAGCCTGCGCGTCCGGAGCCTGTGCTCCGCAACGGGAGAGGCCACAACAGTGAGAGGCTCGTGTACCGCAAAA